CTTTCTGTCTCTATGTCTCTCTCTGTTTGGCGTGCGCACACGCCCTATGCAAAAACCTCTCCAAAATAATAATAATAATAATAATAATGAGCAAAAATTGACCCAATTGGAGAAGAGTGTGCTGGTAGATGCTGCTACTCAGCAAGCTGAGCCACACGGGAGGCCCTGGTTTGATTCCTGGCCCATCCTAACATATCAGGTGCAATGGTACACACCCATGGTTCTAGCTGCTCAGGAGGCTGAAGCAGAAGGATCTTGACATAGCAAGATCCTGTCTAAAAACAAAACAAAACAAGCAAACAAAGAAAAAAGAGCAGAAACTGGGACCAGCAGTTGGTGCGATGGCTATGTTGCTGGACTCCCATGTAGTTGACCGCGGTTCGAGTCCTGGACCCAGTAGCTTAAACTCATGCCAGGCACCGTGTGTGTGCGTGCCCAAGATCACAAGAGGAGAAGGGATTGCAGCGTGGCCATCCTCCCTGGGGGGTGATTTCTTGCTTTCTGTCTCTCTGTCTCTGTCTTTCTGGTGAGCGTGTGCCCTAGAACCTCTCAAAAAAAAAAAAAAAAGAGCAGAAATCAGTCACTGAGAAGAAAAGCAAAGCACAATGATACACCAGTACACATCCACCAGACTGGGAGAACTAAAGCATGTGACGATAGTAAGTATTGCTGAAGATGTGCAGGAGCAGAACACAGTGCTAGTAAGAGAGGGAACGGGTACAGCCACTTTGGAAAACTAGTTTGGTGCTGGCCCAATAGGTAGCATGGTGGTTCAGGAGGCTAGCTCCCACGTGGTTGACAGCACAGTTTGAGTCCCCACCTTGGTAGCTTGAAAAAACATGCCAGCATGGGCATGCATACCTAAAACCCCAGGAAGAAAATGAAGAAGACTGGTGTGGCCATGCACCCTATAGCAAAAAAAAAAAAAAAGGGGGTCGGGGGGATTAGGTGTTGGAATAGGCAGAAAAATGAAGTCCTCACACAGACCAAGGGATGCTAGCAACCACCTAAACTAGAAGAGACAAGGAATAGCTTCCCCCCTAAAAGCTCAGGAGTGCAGCCCTGCCAACACCTCAGTTTCAACCCAGTGAAACTGACTTTAGATTTCTTTTCCTTTTTTTTTTTTTTTAGAGAGATTTTTGCTTTAGGGCGCGTGTACTCGCCAGAAAGACAGAGACAGAGAGACGGAAAGCGAGAAATCACCCCCCAGGGGGGATGGCCACGCCACAATCCCTTCTCCTCCATTCTCCTCTCAGGATCTTGGGCACGCACGCACACGCGCCCGGTGTGAGTTTAAGCCACCAGGTCCGGGACTCGAATCGTGGTCGACTACATGGGAGTCCAGTGACATAGCCATTATGCTAATTGCTGGTCCCAGGTTTCTGACCTCCATAAATATGAAAGAATACATTTCTGTTGTGTTCAGGCACCATGTCTGTAATAATTTGTTTCAGCAGTAATGGGAAACAATATACATAGTATCTACCAAACTTGGACATAGTCATACCCGTGTCTGGATTCTATTTCTAGGTGTGCCCCAACAGAACTGTAAGGACCATAAAACACACCAGAATATTCATAGGAGCATTGTTCAGAACAGCCCCAAAGTGGAAACAACCCATCAACAGCTGAACTAACTATGCCACATTCATACACTGGAATTCTACACAGCAACGAAAATGACTGAGCTAGGGTTAGACACAACATAGAAAATTCTCACAGACAACCTTGAGCAAAAGAAATCAGACACAACAGAAAAAGGTGTTTCATCCGTTTATATCAAGTTCAGAAAGAGACTAAATGAATCATATCATTGAGTCATCTAAAACTAGAAAATGAAAGAAAATCCAGAAATGACTATAAAAGCCAGAAGAGTGTTTCCAGCTAGACAAGGAGGGGGTGACTGGAATGGCGCACACGACAGGATGGTGGTGGGAGATGGGCTGGGGTGTTCCCGAGGTGCTAGTAACGTGTTTTTGGGTGGGTGGCACGGGTGTCTTACAGGATCAGTCTTATACATTACGTCATGCACTTTTCTGAAATGTTCTATGTCACGACTCAGGTTTCTCTTGGTGACGATGGTGTTCATTTTTAACAGGGGGCTTTTCCAGCCCCTGAAGCCTGGTGCCTTTACTCTCAGTGCCCTTTGAGCTCCTCCGGACTCTGCTGCTTGCTCAGCCATGGCCCTGACCACCCTGAGCTGTGACTGTGGTGCCCAGTCTCGTCCACTCACTAGACAGTTGTCCAGAGCCAGTGCCCAGGCTAGAGTCCTCTCAAAGTCCTCTGCAGAGTCCAGCTCAGGGCCTGGCACGCAGGAGACTTTCTAGAACAACCACTGCCTTGCCCAAGACACACTTGGCCTGCCTTCCATTACCACCTTACACAAGAGGACTTCAAAAAGTTTGTAGATGGGAACCAGCAGTTAGCATAATGGCTGTCGCTGGACTCCCACGTAGTTGACCGTGGTTCGCGTCCTGGACCCGGTGGCTTAAAACGCACGCCAAGCACATGTGCGTGCGTGCCCAAGATCCCGAGAGGAGAATGGAGAAGGGATTGCGGCATGGCCATCCCCCCTGGGGGGTGATTTCTCGCTTTCTGCCTCCATGTCTGTCTCTGTCTGTCTGGCGAGCGCATGTGCCCTATAGCGAAAAAAAAAGTTTGTAGAAAAATGGAATTAAAGTATGAGTTTTAGTGTAAAAAAAAATCCTGAAATCCATACAGTGTTCTCATGTCCACGAACTTTTGAAGATTCCTTCTATTACAACTGTTAGGGTCCGTCTGTCTCGGGCCGGTTCCTGGTCCCCACACAAGAACATGGTGGTGGAGGGCAGCCCTAGAGGCGGCGGCTGGCTCTGTGCTTCCACTTACCTCTGTCCGTCTATCTCTCTACATGCCACTCAGAAGTGTTCCCTGGGCTGTTCTCTGCCTGGAATGCCCCTCTCTGTCGCCTTGTTGAACTCCGACTGTCCTTTAAGGGCACTCGCAGGCTCCTCTGAGGACAATGGCCCTCCCTCCCCTGAGCTCCACAGGCTCCGACTTCCGTGGCTGAAGCTGGTCCACGCTGCACCACAGAACCGTCTCTAGACTCCTGAAGCTCTTGCATTTCCCTGGGTTGTTCTCATGGCCCGGAACCAAAATTCAGGATGGAGTTCCTATTTCTGGGCCTCGAGGTTGTCAGCCCTGGTGCGTCACGTGGTCTGAGAAGCTTAGGTGGACTCCGGGGTGCCTGAGCTCAGAGAGGCGCTGGAGGCCGGAGCCTGGCAGTTCCGCGGCTCCCGCCATGGTGGACGTATGCCTGCACGAGCTCCAGCACCCTCAAGATCAGGCTTACTTTCCAGTCAGCACCCAGCAGGGCCCCAGCGAACAGAGCAGGGTCTTTAACTGCAGCAGGAGCAGAGCCTGAAGCATGTCCAGCTATGGAGCGGGACCCAACAGAGAGAGAGAGAGAGAGGCAGATCCTGTAATCAGCCGAGTAGCTGGAAGCCCAGCAGAGGCTAAGGTAAGCAGCAGCTCCCAGCTCCAAGCACGGCTAAACCCCAAGCGCAGGAGACTCGAATCTCAGAAGGCCATGAAAAGAAAGCCTACGCCCGTCGCCTCCAGCTCCAGGTTAAGGCAGCTGGATCACATGTGGTGTGCAGCTTAAGAAACACCCCAGGCTCCTGCACGTGTGGGGCCAAAATTCCAAGAGGAGGGAAATGAAGAAGCGATTATGACCTGATCATTTCCCATGAGGGTCTCTCTGGTTAGTGCGTGCACCTACATGCTAAAATAAAAGAAAGCCTAAGTCTCCATCAGGCCAAGGAGAGCCCCCCAGCTCTAGCTAAGGGTCCAAACGGGGCAGTGGAAGCCCCACTTTACTCCCCAACTGAACTGCTGTCACCAGGGTAGATTCTATCCGTAGTTCTGTATCCCCCAGGCAAGTCACTTCCCTTCTCAGAGTCCATTTCCTATTAAAATTGAGGTACAACCCCACACGAGTGGCTGAGTACTAAACAGACCTTGCAGAAATGCGCAGAACTGAGCTCCTTCCTAATGAGGATAAAAGTAGAGTCTGGGATCACACCGCAGCGGACTGGACCAGGCCTGTGGCTTCCAGACAGGGCTCAGGTCCTAGACTGGTCACCTGTTTTTATTTTTTTTGGAGAGGTTTTTGCTATAGGACGCGTGTGCTCACCAGAAATAGAAAGCAAGAAGTCACACCCCCGGCGGGATGGCCACGCCGAAATCCTTTCTCCTCCATTCTCCTCTCAGGATCTTGGGCACGCACGCACAAGCGCCCGGCCTGAGTTTAAGCCACCGGGTCTGGGACTCGAACTGCGGTAGACTACATGGAAGTCCAGCAACATAGCCATTACGCCAACTGCTGGCCCCACTGGTCACCTGTTCTTACACACCAGCACAGGACAAGGGTCCAGGACAGCTTTAAAAGTATGGGGTTAATACTCCTCCCTCAGGAAAGGCTAGGTTTTGGGAATCCCTACCCAACCAACCCTCAACTCCCCAGCCTCCCTTCCCCCTCAGGAAGGAAAACCCCACATATTATGCAAGAAACTTGAGTTCCTGAGCCCTTACACAAGGGACGGTGGGGGGAGGGACAGGAAGCTAAAACCACAGCTGTAGCCTTGGAAGAATTATCTGGCCTCAGAAAGAGGAAGAGAGGCCCAGGTTAAGAGGTGAATATCCAGGTGTGGGGGATGGGGAGCCATGTGGAGAAGAATTCCAGGCAGAGTGCCCCTGGCTGCCTGTGCTTTTAGTTCCAACCCCTGGGGGCTCCATCAGCTTCACTGAACTAGTTACACACCCTAGCATGCCCCTCTCCCAGGACACTCAGGAGCAAAACATGTGTGAACACAGTTGAGCGTTTGACTCCCAAGTATTCCCTCCTTTGACACAGGAGGAAAACAAGGCCAAGAGCGTAGGACAAGCCTGCAGTGGCAGCTGACATGTGCTGACATCCCGCCTCCCCCAGCCCTCGAACAAAGAATCCTAAAGAGCCTTGATGCCCACCTATGCCCTTTCCAGGGCAGTTTTATTGGTGCTGTTTATTGAAGGTCTTTTCCATCAGTCCCCAAGCCTTTGTCTTCCCATTCCAAGAAGACAGCTGCTTTCTGGTTTTGGCCCCATGGACAAGAGCAGGCCTTGGTCTGATGCTGCCACAACATCCCCACGACGCACCCTGGGTGAGGGTCCCAGTGCAAATCTGTGTCCAGCTCTGGGGAGCAGGGGGAGGTGAGGTGAGCCGGGCCTGTGTGTGGAAGCTGGCCAGAGCCCTGGCCGGCTGCTAGAGACATGTGGGCAAGGTGAGCGGGGCCCCTGTGCTCCCAGCTCCAGCGCCCACTGAGTGGCTGAAGCCCAGGTTGGGGGCAGTCAAATTTGCGATCCTGAGAGAAGCCCTTAGGGCAGGTGAGGGGCACAGGGAAGATTCCGGAGGGGATGATGTGTGTGTGCACATGTGTGCAGGTGCACACAGCCCAGGACCAGAAACAATGCACAGGGGCCTTTGGTGAGTGTGGGGCTATACCTCCCTCCCTTCAGGGATGGGCAGGCCTGAGCCCCCGGCCTCCTGTGGCTGAGGGAACACACCTGGGGTGAGGAAGTTTGGGAAGGAAACAGCTGGAAGTGGTTTAGGCCTCAGAGCCCACATCCTGTGGGAGGGGCCTGCCGCCTGGTTGCAGTCCTCAGAGCTAGAGCTGCTGGATGACAGTTCTCTAGGGGCAGAGATGGTCGTCCTCCGAGGGAGAAGGTGGCCCGGAGACACGGAGGTGGGGTCAGTCCTGCCAGATCCAGGATCAGGAGGCCTCCGTGGCACGTCGCCCCCCTTCCTCCTCCATCAGCAACAGGCGGCGCCGGCCGGCCTCGTAGTCGGCCTCATCCACGCTGACCAGCAGGCGGACAGCCTCCCGGCCCACGGCCTCGCGCAGGGCCTCAGTCAGGAACACGCCCCGCAGGGCCTGCAGCAGGGCACCACTCAGGTAGTCGCCCCAGAAGGCGTCCAGATAGGAGAGCTCCGAGAACTTGATGTCACACACCACGGAGCCCAGGTCCCGAGAGCGCAGCACGGCCGTGGCCTGCCCGAACACGTCCAGCTGCCGAGCCAGCGCCTGGGGCCGCCGCGACGCCACGCCCTGTTCCAAGGCTGGCCCGTGCTCACAGTACTCTGCTCGAACCCGGAGCCGGATGTCTGCAGGGCAAGGAAGCACTTGTCAAGGAGGGACCGCCACCCTTCCTCTCCCCAACCTCCCGCGGACCCGGCCCCGCCTCTCCCGGCGGCCACTCCCCCG